GGGAGAGAGCAAAGGAGTGAAAGAGAGTGTTCAAATAAGGAGCAAATGTCCATCCTAATCATTGCATCCTTTCTTATAATTTATACCACTCTGTACCACTTTGTGCTGCACCAGCAAGGGACAGAGGTCTCTAGGTCTCTCATCTATAGAGCATTCACACAGAAAAAACTCAGAATATATGCCACTTCACATGAGACAGACTACAAGAACTTTGGAATGAATCAACACATTACATTGAGGCATCCAACCCACAGTTTACAGGCTAGATCTTTCCACAGAGATTTTGCCTGGTTTGTCCCAGCTGCCCTGTTTCTACAGTAGGCTTGCTAAGGCAGTGGGAGAGTGGCATGGTACTGTGATCTATCCTGTGCTTCCTCCTAACCATATTCTCACTGGTAAGCATCTGGCAGATATCCTACGTGCATCTAGTCCCATAATTATGAAGGGTCAAAGGATTCCAGAAAACCTGGAAAAAGCCTGCTTCTGCTAGAGCCACAGATTGGGCTACAAACCTCCTCCTCACAATGCCTGAGGGAACAGCCAGGAAACAGGGCAGCCCAAAGCAAGCTGCCTGGCTTGTTCTTTGAGCTGCAGTCTGCTCCCAGGAAGACAGGGGTTACCAAAAAGTTATGCATGCAAAGTACTGTAGGTGCTTCCCAAGACCAGATAAATTCAGCTCTTTCAGGAGGCATAATTATTTGGGACTGTGCATATCAAGGCGTATCAGTTGCAGAATAGGGAAAATCCACAGGATACAGCCAGTTCCACAGGCCTCTGGAATTTCAGCTGTATTTTACCATAGTCTCCAGCATTAAAAAGAGGAGGAACTAGGAAAAGTGATTGGGAATGGAACACAGCAGTTTTGTTCTACTAGAGTCATCCCGTTATCTCTATTCTTATGTCAATGTGATTCTAGTTTTTTTCTGCAGCTATCAAGATCTGGAGTAGAAGAGGCAAACTGGAAAACTAATGATGCAGAGTTTAATCAAAGTACATGAGGAAAGAAAAAAAGAGCAAAGTTGACAGCTACACTAAGGGAAAAAGACCATTTGAAACTTGCAGGAAGAGATGCAGAACAAGAGTTCAGAACTGTCAGCAATAGGAGAAAAAAAGGCAGCCCCAGGGCAAGTGCTGGCAGAGTGATAGGTGCTCCTGGGGAAGAATAGCCACCAGAAGATCTGCCAGGAAAAAAGCCCTGAAGGGCAGACGAGGCAATCTGAATATGATACAGAAGGTGTCACTGCAGAGGGTGTCACTAGCAAGAACTAAGCTGGGAACAGAAATACAATAAGGTTATTTATACTGTAGTGTCCTCAACAGATTTGTGGACTACTTACTGAGTTCATGTGTCTAATCAAGATACAGGTAAGTATTTTCACATTAAAATACCTCCATATACTGAAACATGGAATTCAAGAGTGACACACGCATCAGAGAAAGCATTTTCAATAAAACTGATGGACAGCAAGACAGGCTACCAGTCAAACAACCTATCAAATGGTCCACCCAATATGGGGTTTATGATCAGGACAGCACAATGTAGACAGACCCAGATTCCTGTTACCAGAGCATTCCCATAGTTTTAAACACTGCAGAAACAGAAAACAGTCCTGCCTTCCCCACCTCCCCCTCCCAACTCACACTGTAACAGCACTAATAGTAACAGAATTAATTACGGAAAGGGAACCATGAGGGCTTATATTAATTCTTTGACTTTAGAAGGTCTGACAATGACACAAAATAAAGGAGAACCATTCAGCGGCAGCCACCCCCCTCTTTCGTTTCCTCCCCAAGGAAATGGTTGCCCTAAAACACATCAGTGTTTTGGGATGTTTTTTTCAGGGACTTGCTGAAAATATAAAAAGTTTAACTGACTCACCGTCACAGGCATAACCTTGTCGAACTAATCCCACCATAAGAGAGGTGCAATGACTACACTGAGTAGGGCTTGTAAACGACTTGATATTGAGCTGGTGAGCTTTAGGCTGAAAGACACATTCACGATAAAAAAAAACAAACAACTTTTCACTTTCTGTACTCATGTAATGCAAGCATCTCCCTTCACCACCCTCCAGTGTATCAGAGCATATATTACGAAATGTGGGCTTCTTTTATGCAAGTGCAGCTTGTACAAGGTGCTGCAAGACAATTGTAACAGTTTTATTTCCAACTGCATAAGACTCTCAAACCCAAACCTACAACCAACTATTTTTTGTAATCCCTTCTGACAAATCAAAATCCATCATCTTGCATTTGGAAACATTTGATTAAAAACACAAACCTAACAAACACACACATGACAAACCCGAAAAGGACAAGAACAAACATGGAGGGCTAATTTATAAATGATATTTTTTTCTTTGTTCTTTAGAATAAGGTTAGCACAGTCCCCCTACCTTTGGTACAGCTAGAGAAATGGATTGAATGGTGGGGGAAGGAGCAGCAGGCATCCTCTGAAGCCGAATTGGTTCCTGAATCACAAAAAACTGTAATTGAGCAAAATGAGGCTTCAAGAATTTGTTTCAAGATTGGGATGGCAAAGCTTATTGTTTTCTGATTATTTTTTTCCTTTTTGAAAGTTATCAAAAATTTAATCATCATAAACATCGCCATTCTGATTTCATAGAAACAGATTGTGTTTTAAAGCACTCACAGGAAGGCCTGCACACTAACAAACAAGCAGCAATACAGAAAACATATGAAAATGAGGTACATCAACATCCACAGAGCCAGCAAAAGGTTTTATTTGCAACTGTCCTCAAAGCAGGTGCAATTAACACTGACACATTGCAAATAAGCAACATTCAATCCTGCTTCTTCATAGTGAATGCTGCAATATATATTTATCACAAACAAGACAGAGACTTTCTAGTGAATTCTTCTTCAGAGTAAAATAATGGCGCTCTTACTTCTTGCTGTTGCTCTGCAGTTACAACTGAAGTAGACGGTGAAACTTCTGACTTGGGACCCTGCGTTTCCTGCTCACTAATAGAACTGGTCTGCAAAAGTGACAGCAAACATGTTAGATAAGATAGCACAGATCTGATGAAGTGTTCTCACATCAACAAATGGAAACAAAAAACAATGCTGAATTCTATATGCAGTACACATACATCTAACAACTTTCCATGCTGAAAAAACCTTTCCTTGAAACAAACCCTGACACCTGATGGAAAAGGTATAAAGCTGGAAGTCCTGAAATGCAAAACTGCGTAGTAGGCAGCATAACTGCTGTAACAGCCGCCTTCACCCAGCGAGGCTGTGTCTAATCTCTTGCATGCAGGTATGGAATGATGTTTGAGAAGCCTGGCAATCATCCCTAAAATAGCTTATTTCTCGTGGTAGATTACTACACTAGGATTTTTCTAGCACACAGCAGCCAGCAATTCTACCACAAGAAATATTCTTAAAGTAGTACTACTTAAAAAGTTGTTTAAAAATGGTTGGCCTCTGTCATTAAAAAAATGATGACTACTTAATCACTTTGTCTTATATTTCACTAAAATTTAAGACTAGCATCTATTAAAAGCCTTCTATTAATTTCACACAAATTAGCAACTACTAATTGTCAGCACAAGGGGGAAGTATGGTACAATTCCAGAGCTAAAGAAGCTGGGTGTGGAAGTAGAATACTATATTACTGTTCTCTGAGGACATCATGAAAATCATGATTAACAAACACCAGATTAGACTTCACATCAATGATGTAATTAGCACTAAAGGAAACAAGTAACGAATCACTCACTTCCCAGCCAGTTTAGACAGGAAGATGGCTCAAGTTCAGTTAGCTCACTAAATATGTTCAGATATTTGTTATTCTTTTTGTTATGAATTGATTGGTAGGGCTGGGCCATTTAAGATCAAATTGTACCATTATGTAATATGAACTATTTAAAATGCTAAGCGTGATTCAGCTTTAGCCATATAGCTAGTCAAAATATAAAATAGTAAGCCTGTAAAGAGGTATTAAAAGAAAACTAAACTAGCTCTATTTAGTGGAGTAAGTTATAGAGAAGTTAAGGAAGCAAAGTATCTAATTTTAGAAGGCCATTTTTACTATGACAGGTCACAACAAAATAAGGAGATAAAACTACTAGCAAAAACTTACTTCTTCCCAAAAGGCTAGCAGAGAAGATGTAGACGAAGAAGAAACAGAATCCTTTGTTGTAACAGATATGAGGGATAAAAACGATCACTTATCACCCACACGAAAACTTCAGATAGAGTATCAGTAGGCTAGCTAAATAAAATGTTTTATGTGGCCAAATGATATTTACTCAAACTAAGTTAACCCAGAGCAGATAACACGGACTATCTTTATATGTACATATGAAAAAAATTGTTAATGGAAGTCATTAAGTATCAGCAATTCTAATGTAAATAATCAGAAAATGCCACCTACATTTCCATAGCGACTATGTATTTATTGCAGGATCTGTAGAATGGAATCTTGATTAGTTATGGGCTTGATATTCTACATGTTTTAAGTATCTCTGGTACCTTTTAAAGCAATGTTTTAAAATACCATGGGCAGTAGACAGAAATTATTATTCAGATAGTAGCGTACATCATGTGTGTCTCTTGCCTCCACCTTGTCCATATAGTACACCTTGCTGCAAAAAAAGCCAGTGTGGACATTTTGTGACTGGGAACAGCACGTATACAGAGTGTATTCAAATATCACAGTATGCCCACAGGCCACCTTTTTAACAACAGTGACAATTTGGAAAAAAAAAAATAGAGAGAGTACACATTTCGGACATAAAAATCTAACCAGACTGATGAGGTTTTAACCTGAGGCCCTTTAACTCAGCTCCATAAATGTAACAGATTATTGTTTCCAGTTCAAGCTCTTGGTTTTATCCTAAACTGTCTAAATGTTTTGCAAAAAAACACCCCAGAAAATCTCCAGGGATCAAGAGTTCATGAAGTAAGGAAATGTGATTCAATGTTGCATTTAACAGCTGCTTCCTCTGGGAATGCACAAACCTTTTAAAGCGAAACACCCACTTGGAGCTGTGATTTGTATGATCCGTTTTCTAAGGATCAGAGGGTGTGTCACAATAAACTTATTATACCACCATCTGTGTGGGTCCTCTGATTCTCTTCCCAGTTCCTTCTACTGTAACCACTCCATTAAGATCTGGAGCCAACAATTTTACATATCTGTTTAAACACTCCTTGAACTGTGTGAACGCTTTTCCTTGTATTAACCAGCATCTTCCAACTGCACAGCATTTAATCCCTTATTTGTAACAGGGTGTGCCAGTCTTTCCAAAAAAACCTGAATATATATTTTTTAGCCAAATGTTTGAGATTAACCTAAACAAAGAAGCTAGAATGGGAAATAATTCACACGAAGTTCTGGGAATATCTCCCAAAGGTGCCAGCTTCTCTACAAAATGCCAAGCAATCTGACATCTACTGGGCATCCAATTCTGCGTCAACACTAATTTGGCTAATAGGCCAGATCCAAACATGCCATATAGTGCCCTAGTGTTACTTTTACACAATAAAACTATAATTCAGTTATCACATTTTTATAGTTATTTTATGTAATAACTCACTCTGAAAGTCAGATCACGTGCAAGAGGAGATGTGTTGAAATATTCAAAAATGGAATCTTGGAAGTCTGGAAGTTTGAGACCTAAAACCCAAAGCAGAACAGTCTTAGCTAAAAGGGAACATCACAGATGGTGTTAGAACTCTGTTAAAACACAGTGACACTAATTACCTGAATCTGTTCTATATTTTTCTTCCAGTTTTTTCTTCAAACCTTCCATCTCTTCCAACAGCTCCCTATTTTTTGCTTCCGATTCCTTTAATTTACTAAAGGAAAACAATATGATCAAAATGCAATACGAAATATCTCAAAGGCA